CTGTATGCCTGGCAGGCGAGAGGGACGCAGCAAGGTGTCACTCACTACCCCCTGTTTATGGTTCAAGTGGCATGAGTTTATAAGAAACCAACATCAGGAGCGTAACTAAAAGCAGCAGCAGCAGCATCATCATCATCAGCAGCTACCTGCAGCATCATCATCATCAGCAGAAGCATCATCATCATCATCATCATCATCATCATGAACAGCAGCTCTCACATGAACCCTTCCCCCCCTCACCATATCCACACATCTCTCTCTCATTGCAGCACCTACCTGATCCTCGCTCCGAAGGAGATTCGGCCGGGGCAGACGTACCGGCTCGCCGTGCACATCCTGCGCGTGGAGGACAAGGCCGAGCCCGTGCACGTGCGTGCGTCCGTGCGTCGCGAGGGCGTCGAGGTGGCTGCCGCCTACCAGAAGTACTACGAGGGACTGCCCGACACGATGCTCATCAAGGTGAGGTGTGGGGGGCGCGTCACCCGGCACCCGTGTGAGGAAAGGCAGATAGTAAAAAATAAAACGGCGAAGGAAAACTATTAGAAGGAGCCATTATTCTCTGGGGAATCACTTGATTAATTATCGATTCGTGTTTTTTCGATTAAAATTTCTTTGAATCTCCTGTGGGTGGCATCATGGGTCGAGTGGCGATTATAGGTAGAGCGATTGCGCGACACCGCGTCGGGGCGAACAGTTGCGTAACGCTGGAGTAGCTTTTTAAACAAACTAACCGCCGGACGAATCACAGATCGAATTCGGTGTTTGTTACACGTCTGCCACTGTATTCCCCGCTCCGCCTGGCATCACGGCTTCTCTCACTAACGCATCCTCCCTCGTTTGCTCCACAGATTCCCGACGGCGCGCTGCCCGGTCCGTACGCGTTGTTCGTCGAGGGACACATAGAGGGCGCCATCGACGAGTCGTTGTTCCGCAACACCACCGAGCTGAGGTTCGAACAGCGAACAATGTCGATCTTCGTGCAGTTCAACATTCCGATGTACGCGCAAGGAACGACGAGTAAGTTCCTGCCCGCCGGCGCCACCTTGCGATTCCGTCTCGTATCGTCGGTATCGCCCGATTCTTCGCTTCTCATTTTTTTGCAGCGATTAAGTATCTGTACCTGTCGGTTTAACAGTCTGATTGTTGTATGATGTGCAGAAAAACTTGCCATTAGATCTAATATCTTATTTAGGTGCTAGATGTAAAATGAATTGAAGTGGATCGTTTGGATTGACATGCAATTCTGCTCAACTGCTGAACATGTTCGCTTGTTTCCTAGCCAGCGATAAGTTGAATTAACGAGTAAAGTTGCTCACTTGTTTTGTTTTGTATGCCTGCTTTTTGTTTCCTAGCTTGTGATAGTCTAGGTTAACGTGTTAATTGCTCAGTTGTTTCGTATGCTGGCTTGTTTCCTGGCCTGCGATTCTAGATATCGATGCGTTAAGTTGCTCACTTGTTTCGTAAGCTGTGCGTCAGTGTGCGCGTCCGTCGCTGGGTGATGCGTTTAACTCACGCTGCTGCGTTTCTGCTTCAGTGTACTTTCGAGTGATCCCTGTGCTGCCGGACTACCGACCCTACCTGGGAACAGTGGACATCTACATCATGGTGAGTCACTGTCATTACTGTGTGTCACGCATGTCCGTGACCTTGACCATTCTACTGTCACCTTTGCTGACCATTTACATTGTCATTCACACAGCCCCTTCACTGACCCCACACCGACCCCCACACTTACCCCACACTGACCCCACACTGACCCCACACTGACCCCACACTGACCCCACACTGACCCCCACACCGACCCCCACACTTACCCGACACTGACTTGACACTGACCCCATGACCCCACAATGACCGGACACGGACCCCACACTGACCCCCCCATGTTCATCGAGCACCGCGTCTCAACGTTGCAGGACCCGTGGGGATTTGAGGTGAGACGCTGGCTGTCTCAGCAGAGCAACCTCGGCGCCATCAGTCTCGACTACGAACTCTCCGGAGACGCCCTCGAGGGAGAGTGGCGCGTCAAGGTCAAAGCCGGGGTGAGTAGAGGTCACCGCGAGATCACGCAGTGCACAGGCTTTTCAGTTCTAAGGGGGGGGGGAGGGGAAGGGGTCGGGCGACAGAATCAGGGCGCCGGTATCACAGAGCAGGATCCAGGCGAAATAAGAAGCAATTGCGCACAGCAGTACGATGATATTCATTAATATAATAATATAATGAGGTAGTGATACATCTGGGAAAGCAGCTAAGCATCCTCGATGATGTAATGTATAATAGTATATATTATATCAAAATAATTTGGCAATGTATTCCGAGGAAATATCGTAATATAATAGTGTACAATAACGATACGATGCCTACGTGGTCTGTCACCACGGCAACGTCACGCGATTGTGTCGGACTTAGTCTGGCGTGCAGACTTGCCGTTATGGGGGATTGACTGTCGGTGTTGAACCTGTCGCTTGTCTCTTGCAGGGTTACACCGAGTATCACAACTTTACCGTCGTGGGATTTGGTAAGATTTCTTCGAAGCCACACTGTGCGACAATGCATGTTGGGGAATGTTCTCTCGGAGAACATCGCTGGTGTTCCCCCTGTGAATATGCACATGGGGAGAATTGCCAATATTCCTTCCAATATGTGCGCATAGGGGGAATTGTGCTCATGCACCCGCCAGCGAACACGTGCACAAGAAAAATCGTGTGCATTCCTCCCAACAAATGCACTCAAAGAGAATTGTGTGTATTCCTCCTAGTGAATATGTACACAAGGAGAATTGTGTGTATTCCTCCCAGCGATGAAACACAGGGAGAATTGTTATAGTTTTCCCAGCAAATGTGTATGCAAGATAAATTATCAGTATTCAGTCAAGTGAATACATGTACAGGGAATTGATTTTATTCCCCCACCCAGCGAATACACACTTAGGGAGAATTGATTGTATTCCCCCAGCGAATACACACACATACAGGAAGAATTGATTGTATTCCCCCAGCGAATACACACACATACAGGAAGAATTTATTGTATTCCCCCTAGTGAATACACACACATAGGGAGAGTTGATGAATTCCATCTATACTACTCTAGGACTTACCCCTGGTTAATGAGTGTCTCTAGCGAGCATTAATATTATCGAGCGGGAGTGCATGACATAGCTAGAGCTAGTTGTTGGACAACACTATGCTGTCATAAACAAATCTTCCGAGTAAAAAAACTCCGAATATAACACTGTAGTCGTGCGTACTGACGTATGAGAGGACACAGGTCAAAAGGTCACACCGTCCTAGCTGTGGTGATGCGCGATCGTGTTGACATTGGTTGTCACGGCGACGGTGATGCAGTCAGTGAGCATGGCTCAATGAATTAACTGGCCTGCAGCGCCATAGACGCTGCATAACAAGTGAGCGTGCCTCGAGAAATTAACTGCCCCGCAGCAGCGAGGTTGCTACGTAACAAGTGAACATGCCTCGAGCTAATAACTGCCTGACAGCAGCGAGGTTGCTGCATAACCAGTGAACGTGCCTCGAGGAAATAACCTTCTGGCAGCAGCGAGGCTGCTGGATAACAAGTGAACATGCCTCGAGGAATTAACCTTGCGGCAGCAGTAATGCTGCTGCTGCTGCATAACATAACATAACATAACATAACATGACAACTATTAATACTGACAGACGCTCGGATTGGCTTGCTTCCATGCAGGGGCAGGCGTGTGAGGGAGCATGCTCATACATGGCGGTAGCGGGGCATCGTCCGTATACGCCCGCGCGGCCCCTCGTGACCCCGCGTGCTGGCTGCGGAAACACGGCACGCGCTCACTCATAGCTCTTATCCTACGCGCAGCAGCATTCTACTGCTGGCAATATCTCGACGGGAGAACGGACCCGCGTGTGACCTTGGAGTCGAGGTCGATTAGGCTAGTGGAAAAAGAGCGGTTTTTGAAGGTGGGCCAGTGGTCAGTGGGTCATAAGATGGTGCAATCTCTCGCAAACGAAAGCCGAGGAGATGTCGATTACGTTTGGATACGAGTGACGAAAATTATTTTTGGTACGAAAATTTAAAATGCCGGAAAATCGATTGCGAAAGAAAGGTAGCGTCGAAATTCGAAAAAAAACTATTTGTGTAGCGTTGATCCAATCAGGAGTATGGATAGATATGTTCAGCTTATCCTGGTTAATAAGACCAATACGTGTAAAACAAGAAGACGTGTGTGAGGGACGAGCGTTAACACCTACGCGAATGTTTTTGTGCCAGTTATTATGCTTGCGCTAATGTTTGACGTCAAATTCACTCGAGTGATTAAAATAATATTTATAGATGACGCACTCGGCAGAGGCGTGTGACGGCTACCGACACGTGACCGGGAGAGAAACATAACGTGTCGTAATACCCAGTAATTCTCTGCTGCCCGTCATCATGTATATAGGGACGGAGGGAGTCGGCGTCGTGACTGCAAGAGCTCCCTCTAGTGTGCGCGCTGTCGCTTTATGTAGTCCCGGCGTAACTTTTGTTTAACGCATGCATTGCGGCGTGAGCGCGGGGTTCGCTCGACGCTGACCCCGTGACCTCGGCGATGCCATCAGCAGACGTAGGACGCCAGCAGTCACGATGCCGGTTCCCACCGCCAGGTGGCGTGGCCAGTGCTACGCGTGTGCTGCGCATTAACGTTGGTTTTAACATTGCAGCGATAGACGCGATACACGCGTTCGCACGCCAGTTCATCAGTAGCGGCGCATGTCGTCCGCCATTTTGAAATGTGCGCGCTCGCCCCGCTCACGAGCATTGGGGGGCGAGAGGTAGTGCCTTCCTTCCCTGACCGCTGGGGGAGAGGAGCGGGTAGAGAGGATAAGCTGGCGTGCGGACGGCATCGGTGATCGTTAATAATTAACGATTAATGATTAATCTCGTTAACGAAAGGCCGCTTCTTGACGATGTGTAACATATCGGCCGTCCGCCTTGCATCTAATGTCGCCGACACAGTCGCTAACCTCGCTGTTCTTGTTTTTTTTCTCTTCCGCAGATCTACGCCCCCACAAAGGTGCAGATAATTACCCTAATGTCTAAACAATCTTAAGTATAACCACGTCGAAATTCCGTTAGAGTGACGCGAGCGTGTATAGATGCGCACGTGCGCGCCTGCGTCACCCCCGCCCGCCCTCACGCGTGCGGGGGTACACACGCGCGTGCCTCTGCATCTATACGTGCGTGGTTCCTCTGCCTGCGCGGCGTGGGACGCGCACCGAGGCGCTCTAATCTTTATCGCCGGCATGGTCATCGGTGCGATCCGGCGGAGGGTCTCGTTCGGACGGGCGCTCGCCCGCCTGAAGGGGGCGCCTCCGTCTGAGTCGCGCGGCATGCACATGACGGCGGAGACGGAGCGAGGAAGCAGCAGCAGCAGCGTTCGAGAGTCTTCCTCCTCCTAACGTAACGTAGCGTCTAACCGACTAACAGTCCTGCCCCAGGGACCGGCGTCGGCGGCCGCGCGTTGCCGCGATGCCACGACATCGCCGCAAGCCGGCCTGCGGCGCCCCCTACCGGGCGCGTCCGACCGCGTTCGTCGGGCGTCTCGGAAGTTTGTCGTCATTGGATTTTTTTTACTTGTTTTTTTAATTTTTTACGTTTTTTACGTCATCGTGGTCGAGTCAGCGATATCGCGAGTGATCGAGAGTTAATATAATCGGAAAGCGAAAATTATTTCATTTCTTCGAGAGAGATCGTGAAACAGAGAGAGAGTTCATCGGGATTCAGCGAGGATTGCAGAATGCAGACGCCTGTCGTCGTCGTTTGCATCTGCGTCACCATGGCGACCAGGGCGCGTTCATTGTGCAGTCGTGTCGTCGTTGTTCAGAGTGGTCGGGTTAAAGTATCATCCAGATCGTGGTTTACCCGTCGGCAACCTGTCCCACCCTCCCCTGCCAGCGTGTGTGTGTGCATGCATGCGTGTGCGTGCATGTGTGCGTGCGTGTGCGTGCATGCGTGTGTGTGTGCGTGCGTGCGTGTGTGTGTGTGTGCGTGTGCGTGAATGTTGTGTTTCTCTGACCAGTGCCATTCCTCTGATTCCCAACCCCTGCCCCACCCTTTTGTACCTCTTCAGCCGTCCTAACCCTCGTCTCCTACTCTCTCCTGTCCCCCTACTCCAGCTACTTCGGAAAACTACTCCCCTCCATTCCTGCCCTCTTCCTATCCTTTCCTCCTCCACTCCTCCCCTCTTCCCCTCCTCCCCTTCTCGCCTCCTCCCCTCCTCCTCTCCTCCCCTTCTCCCTTCCTCCCCTCCTCTCCTCCACTCTTCCCCCTCCTCCCCTCCACTCCTCTCCTCCTCCTCCTCCACTCCTCCCCCTCCCCTTCCCTTCCTCCCCCTTCTCCCCCTTCCTCCCCATTTTTCCCCCTCCTCCCCCTCTTCCCCCTCCTCCCCCTTCTCCCCCTCCTCCCGGCCGGCGGGTGAGGCGATCACTCGTGCGAGGGAACGTCGATCATGCAGCGTTGCCACGTTGACTCGCTCAGATAAACCGCGGATGGAGACGAAGCTGTTTGCACCGTCGACGATTCTCGACACGGACGACAAGGTCGGAGTCAAGGTGGTCGCACTGTAAGTATCCGCATCCGCTCCCCGCCTCCGCCCCGCTAATAAAGTAAAAATAAAGTAAGGGCCCTTATTAGTACTTATTTTTGGTGAAATCTTAGAAAAGTACTTAATAGTCCTTATTTTTTGCCAATTTTATAAACTGTTCTCGACTTAGAGTAAGAATTGTTGTATATATAATACGGAATAATTAAATCTGCTGTGCAATTGTGTATACAAATATTATTAGTGTACTTTAATAGTCGGTGATCTATCAGAAATTGCGTAAAAAAGTCTTATTTTGGCCTCCAGAAAGGGTCTTATAAGTCCTTATTTCAACATGTGTCTTACTACTATGAACCCTGATAGAGCATTCTAAAAGAGCTCGGCAAAGTGCGACTGTTTGGCTTGACTGGAATCGTAGCGAATTGCATGCGATCATAGGGAAGCTTCTTCCTCTGTATGTCTACGATTACCGGGAAACTTCCTATATATGTCTTTAATCCCGGGGATGCTTCCTGCTCTACGATCGTGCTTGCCCGCTTGACTGACGCTGCGATGCAATGCTTGCATGTTCCCGCTGCTGTTCCCCCCTGTGTTGCTGCTGGGTGCGCGCGTACGTGCGCAAGCTGATGCCAGACGGCATAGTAACGTGGCCCTCCGCAATAACCCAGGTTCGAATCCTGGTCACGGCACCAAAATGTAACGGTCAGGCGCGACGTTACACAGATGGTGGGGAAGTGGATAGGTGAAGTGGAGAATAGAATTTCAAGGATAGGAAGGAGGTGCATGCTTGCCCGCGCGATTGACGGTGCGGTTCATTGCGTGTTCCTACAGGAAGATGAGTAACAGCCTGGTGGAGGGCCGCTGCTGGGTGCGCGCGTACGTGCGCAAGCTGATGCCCGACGGCACGCCGCTCGTAGCCGAGAACGAGAACCTGGGAGAGAAGGCGCTCGAGGTCTACGACCCCATGGTAGGTCACCGCAGCAACGATGTTGTCGTCATGACGACGACGGCAAGGGCGCTGGTGTCACAGCGATGATGCCTTGCAACCATGCTTTTTTATGGGATAATAATAAGTTTTCGGGTGCCGGACTGGGCTACTGGCTTAGTGAAGAGATTCACAGTTTTCACTGGCGGGTGCCGCCGCATACAAGGCTCTCTTCTTGGCACTTTTATGGGATGATACTATCATTTGAATACTAATAATAATGTAATAACAAGATAATGATAGAATGATGATGATGATGATGATGATAATAATTTATAATGCAAGATCACGAAGATTTACGAATAATCACTATGTGTTTTTATAGGAATTTATACATCTCTCGCTTTCTCTCTTTCCCCCTCCCTCTCTCTCCCACCCTCTATCTCCGTATCTCTCTCCCGCACGCTCACTCTCTCTCCTTTTCTCTGTCTCTACCGCCATCTCTTTCTTTCTCTCTGTCTCTCCATTCCATTCTCTCCACCCTCTCTCTCTCCCTCTCTCTCTCTCTCTCTCCCCCCTTCTTCCTAACCCCTCCTCTCTCTCCCTCTCTCCCTCTCTCTCGCCCCTTCTTCCTAACCCTTCCTCTCTCTCTCTCTCACCCTCTCTCTCCCCCCTTCTTCCTAACCCCTCCTCTCTCTCTCTCTTCGTCTCTCTCCACGTATATATATGTCTGTTTGTATACGTGTATGTATATGCGTATATGTATGTATATATGTATCTCACCATGCGTGTTCTCTCCTGCACAGTTCACCAGCGTGCGTACGTTCGACTTCTGGCTGCACGATCTTAACGAGCTCGGCGACCCCCTCGCACCCTCTCTCTCTCCCTCCCTCGCCCTCTCTCCCTCCCTCGCCCTCTCTCCCTCCCTCCCTCTCATATATATATATATATACAGGGTTCTTGTTAATAGCCGGTAACCGGTTATTTTTACCGCCTATCACGCAATTTGTTACCGGCTATCAATTTGAGAGTAACTCCCACTAAAGGCGGTAAAATATTTAATCCATATTTGAAAAAACGAAGTTTATTTTAAATACTTCCAACCCAAGACTAACTCTGTGCACGGGCGGGTTTTTCTTTTTATAATAGATACTTAATTCAGCATATGATATTGTCTATCTAACTACCAATTCTAGAACCCATACCATCAAATAGGCTATTTGTGCTGGGTCAAATCAGAAATTTTTGAACGGAGACAAACCCGGACCCACTCTAGAGGGCTTTCGCCGCCTTGCACGCCGCTCATTGTATCTACACATGCGTGTTCTCTCCTGCACAGTTCACCGAGCAGTGACGTACGTTACGATTTGGAACTGCACGAATTTAACGAGCTCGGCGACCCCTCGCACCTCTCTCTTCCTTTCTCTACTCCTCCTTCTCATCTCCTCTCTCTCATATATATAATATACAAAGGGATGAGTTCTCGCGGAATCCCGCGAATCGCGCGGATTTTGAAAGTCCCAGGGGTAACTCGGATTTTGTGAAACGATTAAATTCGTTGAGAAAATTGGGAGGGCAGAGTAACATTGTAACAATTTAAAATTTATTATCCCTCCAACAGCACCTGACTGTGTAGGACTGTAGAGTATGTAGACAGTAGATGCTGACAGCGAAGTATACAGTGTATCTGTTTGCCGTCCAGATAAAGAAATCCTCGCTTTCACGGGCTGCCAGCAGAGGGGCAGACATTTGAGGTAAGCTGAGCACGTAAACGACCATGCTGGCCTTGGGGGCCCGGGTTTTACATGTTGCTGCAGTGCATGTTGTGGTGGCGATGACTATGCATTGATTGTTCCATGGCATCTGTGTTTTTTTTCATTCAAATCTGGTCGCCAGCAAGGCCCAGCATTATGTCTAGTAAACATGCAAAGCGACGGTAATAAAGAGTGGAACAGAAAAATATATTTATGTTCGTAGGACATTTGTAATAAAAAAAAAATACTTTGCCTATTTTCAGCCCCCTGATTTCCTTATTATAGTTGCTTGTCACTTGACAACTGCAAAGGTGATTCGAGAGGTCTCCTATATTTGTTCAGAATAGCTTTAGATGCACCAAATTGCACCATTTTTTGGCAAAATTCCGGAGCGAAGCATGCTCCCCGGCCCCCTAACATGAGCGATAGACCTACGCCGTCCTCGCATTTGGCTCCTCTGTTTGCTAATTAAAAAGTTTCAGACTGAAGAATTAATTATCCAATCTCATCCTAGTATAATATATATGTTTATCTCACCATGCGTGTTCTCTCACTGCACAGATTCACGGCGTGCGTACGTATCGACTCTTAGGCTGCACGATCTTAACGAGCTGCGGCGACCCCCTGCACCTCTCTCTCTCCTATCTAACTCCTCCTCTCTCTCCATCTCTCTATGGATATATATATATGATATCTCACCATGCGTGTATCATCTCCTGCAACAGTTCACGGTTTGGTAGTCGGACTTCTGGGTAAGCATTGCAACGATCTTAAACCCCTTCCATCTCTCTCATCCTCTCTCTCCAATCTCTTCTCTCTCTCTCTCTCTCCCTCGGCCCTCTCTCCTCCTCCCTCTACATATACTATATATATAATTGTAATCTCACCATGCGTGTTCTCTCTGACCACAAGATTCACCGGAGGGTGCGTCGTGTCGACTTCCTGGGGCTGGCACGAATCTTAACCGAAGCTACGAAGGCGACGCTCTCGCACCCTATACTACTCTTTCTTGCCTAACTCCTCTCTCTCCTCTCTCTCATATATAATATTTATATATATATATATATATGTATCTCACCATGCGTGTTCTCTCCCGCACAGTTCACCGGCGTGCGTACGTTCGACTTCTGGCTGCACGATCTTAACGAGCTTGGCGACCCGCTCGCCGGTAACGAGATCGTGTTCGACGTCACCGTGCAGGACCCGCTGCTCAACGACACGCTGCACGCCGCCGCACACTCGCTCGTCTTCAACAGCACTGTGCGCGTGCGCTTCCTCGGTGGCCAGCCACAGATATTCAAGCCCAACATGCCCTTCAAGGCCTACGTGAGTGTGCTAGGGTGGCGGGGAGAGCGGGGGAGCAGGGAGGAGCAGGGGTGGTGGGATGCGAGGGAGCAGGGGGCATGGGGTGTGGAGTGTCTTCAACAGCACTGTGCGTGTGCGCTTCCTCGGTGGCCAGCCACAGATATTCAAGCCCAACATGCCCTTCAAGGCCTACGTGAGTCTGCGGGAGTGAGGGGGGGGGCTGTTAGAGTGGGGGTGGTTGAATGATGGTAGTTGTGTGTGTGCGTGCATGTTGGGGTCTCGTGTGGGGTGGGTGGGCAGAAAGCGTGTGGGTGGGGATGAGGGAGGGGGCAGGAGCAGTTCTAAGAGAATTTCTGCACAGGTGTCTGGTGTGTGTGTGTGAGGGGGGAGTCATGGGGGAGACAAGTGCGAGGGTAGGATGGTGTTGATGGGAACTTTAGACTGCGGATGTTAGGCATGTTCAGGGGTTATTATTATGAGCTTACAATCAGTATTTGTAGGTACTTAGCAACTTAGTACTTAGTAGCTACATAATTAGTAGTAGTTTACTAATTATATCCAAATATGGAGTTAAAATAAGGTAGGAAACGTGCAGATCTCACATCTGCAGCTTACAAAAAAAACAGTTTGTTTTTCTTCTACATCGCGCACGTCAACCAACGCCGTGCGAAACAGCGGCGGCCGACCTTGACCGGCGTTCGCTTGTTTTTCCTCCACCCCCAGGTGGCGGTGGCGAAGCAGAGCGGTGCGCCGCTGGACAGCTATGTGAACAAGGTGCTGCGTGTGCGCGTCGCGGGGTCGGCCCGCCAGCTGCCGGGGCTGCGCGACATCTACACGATCCCCAACAACGGCATCGTCACCATCGACTTCACACCACCCGAGGACGCCACCTATCTGACGCTCGAGGTGAGCCGCCAGATGGCGCCAGCAGGATGTCAGCGAGTCTCTTAGAGGGGAACGCTCTCTGCGATTTAATTACTGCTAATTAATAGATGGATAATAAGTTTTTTTTGGAACAATCGATGTTTCGAAAAGTGAAGAATGCTTCTGTGCGAGTTTAACCGAGCTTTAATAAAGTGTGCAAGAAATGCGGAAGTAATTAAGTTTATTCAAAATTGCTAATGAACTCATTCATTTAATTATATTACCGATTAACTCGATGCATTAAATTTCTAATTAACTTTGCGCGCTAAATTGCTAATCACTTTTACGCGATCGATTAACCGAGCGCGACCGTGTGTGCGCGGGATCGAGGGATCGAGCGAGCGATTGACGGAGCGTTCCCCTCCTCTCCTCACCCTCGGCAGGCGTTCTACGACCCCGTTGAGAACGACCCTAACTACCGGCAGCAGTACGGCTACACGCAGGGGTTCAGGCGCTCCGGATCAGCCTACTCGTCGTCGAACCCCGACGCGCCCGACTACCAGCCGCAGCATCCGGACGAATACACGACGACGACCACAGCTTCACCGTACGAAATGTACGTCCCGCCGCCGCCACCGCGCGATTGTTAGCGAGATGCTGTATTATGTGTTTTTGATTGTGTTTAAACCGGACAGTACCAGATAAGTTACTCCTGATTAAAAACTGGGCATTATCGATAATTGCAGGGAATTGCGATTTACCTGATATCTTTTACCTGGGATACTGGGAATAAAGCCTCTCTCACCTGTTTCCCCTCATTAGTTAGCAGACTTGCTCGTTTGTTAATTTGACAGGTGCATTAATTAGTTAGACAGGTACGTTACTTAGTTACCGTTTCTGTTGGTTAGATGGTGGGAAGGAGAGAAACTGGGGATGATGCATGATCGAGTCCATGTCAGAGCGGGGTGTCTGTATTACAGTACTGAGTGTCCTGATTTTCACAAGTGACCGCATGCTGACCGCGTGCTGACCGTGTCGTTGCAGTGTGCGGCCGGTGTCCGTGCAGAGCGGCGTGTCGATGACCCAGTTGAAGCTGTTGAGATACTACTCCCCCGACAAGAACTTCCTCTCTGTCACCACGAGCACGAGCCAGCCCAAGGTGAGCACGCACACACGCACGAGTTACGCTCATCTCTCGCTCGCAGCTGTTCACTTGGTTCCCGAGCGTTCACTTGCTGTCATAGCTTTCTATGTCATTTAGTGCATAGTTTTCTATGCGACTTTCACTTTTTTGCGTGGTTTTTTAGTTTCGGCGAGCATTTGCAGGTCGGTGAGGAGAGTAGATAATTTTCCGTGTTGCGTTTTATTGCTCCCCACATGTTCACTTGTTAACACTGCATATCTGCGGGTATCCGAGCGTATCATCTTCCCGATGTGTTAATTTGTTTCCCCATGCAGTCAGTTGTTTTCCTGTGCATTTAATTGTTTTTGCGTAGGTAGTCGAGTACAACATTGCTGTGTGTTCACTTGTTTTCATGTTCACTTGTCGTGTAGGTGGGCGAGTACATCATCTTCCCTGCACGCTCACTTGTTTTCATGTTCACTTGTCGTGTAGGTGGGCGAGTACATCATCTTCCACGCGCGTTCACTTGTTTTCATGTTCACTTGTCTAGGTGGGCGAGTACATCATCTTCCACGTGAACTCGTCGTTCTACCTCGACGACCTGAGCTACTTGATCGCGAGTAAAGGCAACATTCTGCTTGTCGACCATTTCCGCATGACGTCGCGCATGAAGACGTTCGAGGTGACGCTAAGCCCCGAGATGGCGCCGTCGGCGCGCATCGTCGTCTGGCACATCAAGAGCGACGGGGAGATCATCGCCGACAGCATGAACTACCACGTCGACGCGACGTCACGCAACAATGTGAGTGCTGCCCCCTGGCAGCGATGGACGGGCGAGGTGGCGGGCGTGCGAGCGGGCGTCGCAGCGGAGGGGGGGGGGGGGAAGAGTTCAACCATTTGTGTGTCTCATCTGCGCTTTCGTCGTAGAATGAAACATCATCATAAAATATAATGTAAACCTGTCCACAAAGGACACTTTGTGCTTTCCTTGAAGGACCGTCACACACTGTAACTAGACAGAGTGCACTCACGGAGAGTGCATACCTCCGCCAGCGACATACGCCATACGACTGACGAACACACGAATAACCCACGATATACGCCAGCGTACTGGCATGTACATGCTGGCTTGCTGGCTTGCTGCTCGCTCACATGTACACGCTCGCTGGCTCGCTGCGCTGGCTGGCTCGCTGGCTCGCTGACTCGACGCGCTAATATCGATCGCGCGAACACATGAACACACAAACACACGAACACACAAGAGTGATCACATAACCTCCTCCAACTGCGTTGGGCGGAGGTAACTACACGCTATAGAACAGATACCTGTCTACGAAGGACTGTTTTGTCATTTTACCTTGAGAGGATGTTGCCCACTGTAACCATCACTATAAAATATAAGCCATGGTATAATAGTACACACCTGTATAAGCCATGGTATAATAGTACACACCTGTATAAGCCATGGTATAATAGTACACACCTGTATAAGC